CTGTCTCTCTTTAACCAGAGACTGACTCCCACTGCAGATCCCAGAAGTAATTTTCCAGTGAGAGCCACTGACATTCCTAAACTGTGAAAACCAAATTGTCGTGGGCAGAAAGCGCCAACTGCGGACGCGAGTTCGGCTGCCGGCGCCAGAAGCTGGGCTCAGCCAACACATGAAGATAAACCAGCCATTAATTATATCTGCATATTTTTACGATGACCCCTGTCTTTCCAATCAACAACTACAACGACAACAAAGCCCCAGTGCAGAGCACCGGGAGCCTGGGGGATACAGAGAGCCGGGGAAGCTCCCAGGCTGCTTTAGGCTTTCCCCACGTACAGCAGGCTGCGATTGTCAGCAAGACGGATTCCTTCCCACACGCAAGATGCCACTTCGGTGGCCTTATCAGATGTTCCCTTTAAGGACACAAGCTCCTATTTCCCCTCTATATATCACCAGCATCTCGGGCTATTTTATTTATTACAGACGATTACATTTGTGATCCCTCTTCCCACTTGATCTCCCCAGATCAGGAGGACAAATGCCGTGTCGTGTCTGAGCGCGTGTGGGCGTCTGTGTGCATCGGAGGGGGGGGAGCAGCCGGCAGCGGGGGGAGCTACACTGCGCAACAGATTTGCCCGGGAGGGACAAACCTCCCCCGCCTGAAACAGCTGGGCTTGCTCCTACCGACACCCGGGAGGCTGGGGGTGCACGGCTGAGGGACCGGGACTCTGCGGTGCCGGGGAGGCGGAGAGAGGGTGCGGGGTTAATTCTACTCTCTCCCCGCTCGAAGGGGTGGGATGCGAGGGGGGAGCGGGGGACGCAGGGCCAGCACAGCCCCGTCCTCCCCCCGGCAGCCGGGGCACGTGGATCGGGAACAGCGCGGCCATCCACCATGCAGCGCACGTCGGGCCCATTTCCCACGCCGGCCGCCTGCCCTGGGGGAGGAGGGGAGGAGGGGAGGGAGGAAGGGAGAATGATAGAAAAGGGGGGGCCGTTACCTCTGCTCCGAAAGAGGAACCAATCCACTGTGAAGGACGCAGCACTCCCGAGCAGGAAAGACATTGCACATTCAGAGAGAGATTGCATGTGAAGACACTGCAAAAAAGAAAGAAAGGAGGGGGGGGACTGGGGGCCGCAGACCGCGTGTGAAAGGCATAGTGTGTGTAAGAGAGGCCAGCGAGGGTAGGAAGGGAAGGGGGAGCAATTGCACATGGCAAGAGAAAGAAATCACTCATTCGCTTGAAAGAGGCACTCGCAAGCAGACCGTAGTAGGAACAACGGGGAAGGAGACGCAGGCGAGAGGCGAGCGTCCATGCCGTGCAACAGCCCGGAATCCGATTAAAGTTTATGGCGGGGAGGTTAAAAAAGCTCTCATCCCGCCCCTTCCCTGGCGAATACATTAAGTTTCCTGGCTGCGTTTAAAAACACAAAGGACGGGAACAGCGGGAGCTGCCGTTAGCAGTTGCATTTCCTGCGCAGGGAGCCAGTGAAATGCAGTATGCTGGTATTCCTACGAACTGGCATGTGTGGATCTTACACTGTGAGCAAAATTTCCTCCTCACGGAGCTCCAGAACAGCGAGGGGGAATTTTGATAAATTCAAGTTGCTCGGCAAATATAATAGGGATTTGGTACTAATCCTACTTAACCCGCTGCGAAGATGCTGCGCTCCCGAACCCCCCTCCTCCGTCCGGGACTGCGGCGGTGAGCACTGAGCCTGCGCCGAGCTGGGCTTTCTCGCTGATGCTGCAGATAGAAAGACGAGTGTCTCCAGCATCGGCGGGGGAGGGTTTTCGTGTTCTGGCGAGGCAGAGAGAGCGGCCGGGGCCGGTGCCAGGGCCGGAGGAGGCGCCGGAGGAGCAGCTCTGCAGCCCTCCGGAGAAGGGAGCAGTCCCTCCCTCCCTAGCGCCGACTCCATGCGGCGCGGCTCTGCCCCTCTGTGTCTCTGGACTCCTCAAGGAAAGAGGTGGAAACCTTCCCTCCCTCCTGTAATCACTCACCGCCCCAAATGACAAAGACACGCTGTGACCGTTGCTTTGAACCACCTCAACATATCCGGCAGCTTTCCGCTCAAATATATCATCTCGATGAGAGAGACATTTCATTACATTCGTCTGCATGCTTTTTTTATTCAAAAGAGCCACATATAACGAGGAATGCACACACAAACACATACAGAACGCGCAACAACTTGTTTTCCCGCATGTGCTCACAGAGGGAGACGGAGCAGCTGGATTCCTGCCTTCCCCTGGCTGCGCGCACGCACGCACACACATGTACCCGCACACACACGTGCGCACACCCGCACACACACACACACCCCAACACGCTCCTGCCCTCCCCGCTGGCTGCCCCAACCTAGCCTGCCCCCTGAGTCTCCCTCTTTTCCCTCCGGGCTCCGAGCAGAAAGGACAGGTAAGAAGCCAGGCAGCACCAAGGGTAGGGCGGGAGCACACAAAAGCCATAGGCGATTAAATGGCTCAAAGTCAAAAGGAGACACGAACTAGGGACGTCAGAATAAGCAAAGTTGAGCCGGAGAGCTTTACCATTAAAGTTTATTTCCCACTTACCCAGGTAGGTGACGCTACATTTTAGCAATCATTGAAGCAGCAAGTCTCTGTTCGGAAATAAATCTGTTACTTCTTACATGTGGTTATTCTACTAACCCTCTCGCTCCCATCCTGAACATCTTCTCCGAGGATTTTTTTTTTTTTTTTCTCCTAGGATACCCACAAACATGCTGAAAAGACACATTCAAAACACGGTAATAGGAAGAGCACAATCACAAAGACCGAGAGGCTGAAACAGCACTGGGAAACAGGACGAAAGTCTGAGATCTCAGGCAGTCCCCCTTCCTCCCTAGAGTTTTATGCAGTTACAGTGACTGCAGCTATTTCACAAAAGCACGGACACAACAGGGGAAGGTGGGAATCTGGGAAACGAGTTTCCTTACCAGCTTGATTCCGCAAAAGGCAGAATAGAAGAAAAGAAAGGCGAACAAACATTTGCTCTAAAAATCGTTGCTCGATTCACGGTCTATAGCGGACGTGGGGAGGGAAAGGGTAGGAGAAAATCACTACAGATCACGGGTTTGAGAAAGCAAGAGAAGCAACACTCGGGCGTGAAATGAGGATCGGTTTTGAGGACTAAACTGGTGCTTTGTGATGAGCAGCTATCCCACTTGCAGCACTAGCAGCAGAGACAGAGGGTAAGACTGAGCTTTCTGGAGTGCAGCGCTTGACTCGTCCTCCCTCCTCCTCCTCCTCCTCCCTCCCTCCCTCCCTCCCGCCCTCCCTCTCTCTCTCGCTCTCTCTCTCTCTCTGCTCTCCCTCTTTCTCTCTCTCCCTCTCTCTTTCTGTGTGTATGTAGCGCAGGCGGCTCTGCTGCTGCAGCGTCAGGGAAGAGCTACCGAGAGAGGCTTCAGCAGCTCCCTCCACTTTGGGCAAACTTGTCGGTTTACCGCTTCTTCTTTTTTTTCTTTTTTTTTTCCTTTTCTTTTTTTTTTTTTTTCCTTACGAGTGGGAAGCTTCTCAATTGCCATTCAACATTTTAAAGCACAAGCCGCTCTGCTGTGAAAGCGCCTGATCCACACTTCTCTGAAAGACACAGGAGGGAATACACAATTGCAGATTTCACCCACTGTGGCGGTGCAGATCACAGGAAACAACTGACCGATACAATTTTATTTGCAAATAGAACTCTGTACTATTATTTTTTTTTTTAATCGCGCCGCGGCTCTTTTCCCCTCCCCTTTGCCATTCCGCTTTATATGGATGTAATTCAGAATCTGTGTTAATTCACATGGGGGATCCAGTTACATCTTGTTCCGCTCCGGGTATAATTACGAGAGACCAATAACCGCCTTTGGACACATAGTTTTGTTGCTAACCTTTGAACTGAAAGGATCAAGTTCAGATCTGGTTACCTGCATTGGGACGGGAAGGAAGAGGAGAGAGAGAGAGAGACTGCAATCTCATTTGTGAATCGCTTTCAGTGCTGCAGATCCAGATTGCTATAACACATGCAGTGCAAATGCAGGTAAGGCACACACACAAACTGCGGATGCAAAAACAAACTTGGAACTGTTGTGTGTCTATGTTCTTATCTTCAGCCTTGCAAATTCTGGGCAAACGGCTTATGCAGTTTCTGTATCGTTGCTTTGTGACTAATGACCTTGCGCAGAGTTGTTAAAAAAAAAATCCGCTCCGGAGAAAGAGCTGAACATTTTAGGCGATCTCTGAAGATGGATTTGGGTGCTTTTCTGCCAACGAAAGGGGATATTCTGTGGACTGCACTGTAATACTCGGGGTTCTTCTCCTATCAGCTGTGCAGCTACCGACATTATTGGGATTTTTTTTATTTTTTTACTTTTTTTTTTTTTTTTTCAGAACTGCCCATTGCTAAGAGGATTTGGTATTTTCCCGGACCCAAGCCCTTTGAATAAAGCGAATCACATTTTTTTTTTTTTTTTTCCCTGTGTGTGCAGAGAGGGGGAAGAATAAAGCTAATGCCTTGGTCGTAAACGGCTGAGCGAGAGGGAGAGAGAGAGCGAGAGAGAGAGAGAGAAAAGAGAGAGTGTGTGAATTGTAGTTAACTCTAGTGTTGAAGACGACGACCTGGGGGGCTTCGAAACGTACAGTACAGCTCCTGCTTTTATTGCAAACCTTGCAAAGTGATTACAGTAAAATCAGAGAGGAGGAGGAGGAGGGGGAGGAGGAGGAAAATCCCATGCTATCTCCTGAGATGAATCTTGAAAAAGCAAAATACACTGTCCCGTGAACTGTAAGTATATCGCAACTGGAAGGCAGGGAGAGCAGCAGAGGAGCCAGCAGCAGGATTTTGACCACCAACTGCACCAGTCATGAGACAATAAGTTTCCAGAAATAGAAGGATTTTATAATCGATCACCTGGACTCTCAGCCGCTCTCTTAGCTTATCGGGGGAGTTTACTGGGGGGCAGGTGGGAGTGAGAGGAGGGCGGGGGGTTTCGGTACGAGGAAGATGAGGAAGATGAGGACCCTCCTTCGCTTTGTGCATTGCTGCTGCTGCTGCTTCTTGCTCCTCCTGCCTCCGCCGCTCTGGGTCAGCCTGGCAGCCGCTAAGCAGCTCCTGAAGTACCGGTTGGCAGAGGAGGGACCCGCCGACATCCGCATCGGCAACGTGGCTTCCGACCTGGGGATCGTAACGGGCTCCGGAGAGGTGACATTCAGCCTGGAGTCGGGCTCCGACTATCTCAAGATCGATAACATGACCGGGGAGCTGAGCACCACAGAGCGGCGCATCGACCGCGAAAAGCTGCCGCAGTGCCAGATGATCTTCGACGAGAACGAGTGCTTCTTGGACTTCGAGGTGTCGGTCATCGGCCCCTCGCAGAGCTGGGTGGACCTCTTCGAGGGCCGGGTCATCATCCTGGACATCAACGACAACACCCCCACCTTCCCTTCCCCCGTCCTCACGCTCACCGTGGAGGAGAACCGGCCCGTGGGGACCCTCTACCTCCTGCCCACCGCCACCGACAGGGACTTCGGCCGCAACGGCATCGAGCGCTACGAGCTGCTGCAGGAGCCCGGCGGGGACGGCGGCCGGCGAGGCGGCGGGGGCGGCTCGGCCGCGGCGGCCCCCGAGAGCGCCCCCTACCCCGGCGGCAGCAAGCGGCGGCAGGAGGCGGAGGCGGCGGCCCGCAGCAGCGTCTTCGAGCTGCAGGTGGCCGACACCCTGGACGGGGAGAAGCAGCCGCAGCTGATCGTCAAGGGGGCGCTGGACAGAGAGCAGCGGGACTCCTACGAACTCAGCCTCCGAGTGCGGGATGGCGGCGACCCGGCACGGTCCTCGCAGGCCATCCTGAGGGTGCTGATCACCGACGTGAACGACAACAGCCCCCGCTTTGAGAAGAGCGTCTATGAGGCTGACCTGGCGGAGAACAGCAGCCCTGGGACCCCGATCCTGCAGCTGCGAGCCACCGACCTGGACGTGGGAGTGAATGGGCAGATCGAGTACGTCTTCGGGGCAGCCACTGAGTCCGTCAGGCGCCTACTGCGGCTGGACGAGACCTCGGGCTGGCTCAGCGTCTTGCACCGCATCGACCGGGAGGAGGTGAACCAGCTTCGCTTCACTGTCATGGCCCGAGACCGGGGCCAGCCCCCCAAGACAGACAAGGCCACTGTAGTGCTGAACATCCGGGATGAAAATGACAACGTGCCCACCATCGACATCCGGAAAATCGGGCGCATCCCGCTCCGGGACGGGGTGGCAAGCGTGGCCGAGGATGTGCTGGTGGACACCCCCATTGCCTTGGTGCAGGTGTCAGACCGGGACCAAGGTGAAAATGGTGTGGTGACCTGCACCGTGGTGGGCGATGTGCCCTTCCAGCTCAAACCAGCCAGTGAGGGTGAAGGGGAGCCACAGAATAAGCGCAAGTATTTCCTCCACACTTCGGCCCCTCTGGATTATGAAGCTGTCCGTGACTACAATGTGGTGATTGTGGCTGTGGACTCAGGCAGCCCCAGCTTGTCCAGCAACAACTCCCTGCTGGTGCGGGTTGGGGACACTAATGATAACCCTCCCATGTTCAGCCAGGCTGTGCTGGAGGTCTCCTTTCCAGAGAACAACTTGCCTGGTGAGAGGGTGGCCACAGTGGTTGCCACAGATGCAGACAGTGGCAAGAATGCTGAGATCACCTATTCCTTGGAGGCTTCGCCCCTCTCCTCAGAGGCACCGGGCAGCATCTTCAGTATTGACCCTGACTCTGGGGATGTGTCGGTGCAGGCAGTGCTGGACCGCGAGCAACGTGACACCTACGAATTTCAGGTGACAGCTCGGGACAAGGGGGTGCCATCACTGCAGGGCTCCACCACAGTGGTGGTGCGAGTGTCGGACCGCAATGACAATGAACCGCGCTTCATGCAGGATGTGTTCACCTTCTATGTGAAAGAAAACCTGCAGCCCAACAGCCCCGTGGGCATGGTGACTGTGATGGACTTTGACAAAGGCCGCAATGCTGAGCTCAGCCTCTCCATCCAGCCCGGAGATCACGACCAGGCAGCTGGCATCTTTTCCATTGAGAATGACACCGGAACCATTTTCTCCACTGTCTCTTTTGACCGTGAGCAGCAGACCAGCTACACCTTTAAGGTGAAGGCAGTGGATGGGGGTGAGCCACCACGCTCTGCCACAGCCACCGTGTCTCTCTTTGTGATGGATGAGAATGACAATGCACCCACTGTCACCTTCCCCAGCAACAGCTCCTACACTGTGCTGCCACCCTCCAGCAACATGCGCACCGTGGTGGCCACAGTAGTCGCCACCGATGCTGACACCGGTCTCAATGCTGACCTCAACTACAGCATTGTTGGGGGTAACCCCTTCAAACTCTTTGAAATAGACCCGGCCAGTGGTGTGGTGTCACTGGTGGGCAAGTTGGCCCCCAAGCACTACGGCCTGCACCGCCTGGTTGTGCAAGTGAATGACAGTGGGCAGCCACCCCAGTCCACCACTGCTCTGCTCCACGTCTTTGTCAATGAGAGCCTGTCCAACGCTACTGTGGTGGAGAGCCAGGTGGCCCGTAGCCTTCACACCCCACTGGCCCAGGACATTGCTGGTGATCCCAGCTATGAGTTGAGCAAGCAGAGGCTTAGCATAGTCATTGGTGTGGTGGCTGGCATCATGACAGTCATCCTTCTTATCCTGGTGGTGGTCATGGCCCGCTACTGCCGATCCAAGGGCAAGCATGGCTATGAGGCCGGCAAGAAGGACCACGAGGATTTCTTCACACCTCAGCAGCACGACAAGGCCAAGAAGCCCAAGAAGGACAAGAAAGGCAAGAAGGGCAAGCAGCCCCTCTATAGCAGCATTGTTACCGTAGAGGCTTCCAAGCCCAACGGGCAGCGCTATGACAGCGTCAACGAGAAGCTCTCGGACAGCCCCGGCATGGGCCGATATCGCTCGGTCAATGGTGGCCCGGGCAGCCCCGACCTGGCCAGGCACTACAAGTCGAGCTCACCGCTGCCCACCGTCCAGCTGCACCCACAGTCCCCCACCGCTGGCAAAAAGCACCAGGCTGTGCAGGACCTGCCCCCAGCCAACACCTTCGTGGGCGCTGGCGACAACATCTCCATCGGCTCGGACCATTGCTCCGAGTACAGCTGCCAGGCCAGCAGCAAGTACAGCAAGCAGGTAAGAGCGCTGCACACCTCGGGCCCAACACGCACACACACGCACACAGAGCGGGTGAGGGAGCCGGGATGCCCGTCCCCCCGCCTCCCACACTGGCACAGGCACACACCCCGTCAGCTTCAGTGACCCGTTCAGTCTGGTGCCCCCGCCCCCTTCCTCCAGGCAGTCAGTCAGGTGCACAGACCAACAAGCAGCTGAAAAGGACAGTCAGACATCTTTATTGCTATTACTATAATTTTTTATCATTCCCTCCTCTTATCAGATCCGGCAGCCAAGCAGCCGGACGGCGCTGCCCCGCCGCAGGAGCAGCGGCAGGTGGCCGCGGTGGCCGGGGGTTCTGTGGCCAGTCCCGACAGCGAACTGCACGGCAGCCTGAGATGCCTTTATCAGCCGCGCTCACGGAGGCCAAACCCGGCGGTTTTGGAGGGGTCTAGGTCTCAGAACCCCCCCACCAGGCGGAGCCGCCATCCCCCTCCCTCCCCCCGGCCCCGCCTCCATCAGCCCGGCCCGCAGCTTCCCCCGCCGCGATGCTTCCCCAGCCTTAGGGACGTGTCAGCTCCGGCTGAGCAGGAAAGTTTCTCCCCGGTAGCCAGTTGTTTCGGGGAAAGGGGGGTTGCTGCCTGCCTGGCGCTTCCTAAAGCTGTGGGTGAGAGTGGATTTGCAGCCGCCGCGGTGAAGCGTTAATGGCTGTAATTACCGTGTCTTTCATTAGCACCAAAATGCTTAAATAATCTGCGCAGCCTATCCGCGCTCTAATTTACACCACAGAGATTTGCACTCATTGCAGCAGTTGCTCTGAATACACATAAGAGTTAGTGAGTTTTGAATCACATCTCAGTATGTTATGATTTCATTGGTTTTGGGTTTTATTTGGTTTTGTGGTGTGGTTTTTTTTTTGTTTGTTTGTTTGTTTGTTTTTTATGCCCCTCTTGCCTATCTCATGAAATTTCATTCACGCTGAGAGGCCCTAATTTGCTCGCCCAGCTGCCGCATAGTTGTGTTTGTAGTGTGACTGCCGTGAGTCCTCTCGGAGCCAAATGTGCCTTCAGGGGTGCCACGAGTGACTGGCTCTGGTCTCGACTGTGTTGGTGGAGCTTGGTTCAGTGAAGCTCCAATAGCCTAAAACTGGTGATGGTAGGGACAGTCTTTACAGTCCTTGAAATAAGATAGGGATAGTACAGAGGGGAATTCAGCTTCTAATTGAAGGCTTCAGTTTATTTTACAAGACACAAATATACCCTGAACAGAGGTCCCTCTTTTTTTGGTGGAATACTTTTTTGGTGATAGTACGTGTAGGTTAATATCCTGAAAGTTTTCTCAACTACAATTCGTGTTGCACAAGAAGCTAGAGGCAAATGAATGCTGATTCATGCAACTACACACCTAAATCTGGAACAGAAAAATTCTGACTAGTTTGACAAAAACGTTTTCCACTTATTAACAAGCAAATATGCTACATGATGACATTTTTTTTATACTTTGAAGTGTTTGCTAGTTTACTAAAATTGAAGTTTTACAAGTGTTGCCTGCTCAGAAATACTTAAAATATAGTAGCATAAAACAAATTGTATGAGCCAGCCCTTCCAGTCTTTCAGGTCACCAAAATAGTGTGATTGTACTATCCACCAGTGCTTTTGTGTATGTGGTTTTGCAAGTGATACAGACTTATAGAACATTTGACACAGTAGTTTCTGTGTGATACATTTCATTAATGCTCTCCCAGAGAGCACATCACAATTTCAGTTTGAGAATAGTCTGTATAAAGTACAAATTACTAAATTCTTTATCTTTCATCTCCTAAGGCTTGCTAAGCACAGAGTAGATTATGCCATTTTAGCAAGCACTGGAATAAAAGTAGCAGTGGAATGTATGCTAATGAGATACCACTTCTTTCTTAATGCTGCAATTCATCTAAACATATGGATTATAATCTGTTAAAGTGTAATTTAATTTCAGTGTAAAAGAATGATTTGCATTCTAAGTGTAGGAATGGTAAAAGAATACACATTACAAATTACTGTTTTGCTTGACAAAAACCCCCAAACTTATTTAAGGTTATAATACAGAATTACCTAATATTATCTAAGTTTTTTTTTTTTTTTTTTTTATATAAATATATGAGAAAATATAGGAAATTGCTTTATTGCACTTTTGCAATGAAGTGCACCTTGAATTGCTCCATTACTTGCTTGCTGCAAACCAGTTTTTCAGTGTTGATAGTTCTCTTGTTAAATATTTAGCCTGTTATGAATGTTCACTTATTCAAGTAGTTTATAGCCAGTATTCTGATGCCTTATCTATTCATTTTTAAATATGTAGACAGTATTTTCGCAGTTGTAAAGCAGACATATAAATTGGAAATTGTCCAAGAAAACAGTAAAGGTAATGTTAAATAACAGACTTTATGGGAGAGTCTAGCAGTCACAAAAACCCTCTGTTACCACTTTCCTATGTGCTCTCACCAGCTTGTTGCTGAGTGACATTTGTATACTTTTGTTCATTTCATACAGTAGTGAGTATATTAAGACTTGCATAAACAATATGTACACTTTTCACATCTCAAACATTGACAGTGCAGTATTTCTCAGTTTAGCAGGCAAGACACCTGTAGCTTTTTAATACCCAAACCATGTGGAGCTCTTGTTCAGCACAATTGTTTAGAGAGAAATGTGAAGCGGATGCAGATAAAGGGTTCTGATGGGGTGTTTATCAGATTGTTTCATAGCTCTGCTGTACATGTGGAACAGAACCAGTAGCATTATGGTGGGGCTATGGTAGGCAGACCTGCTTGAAATATCTAAGACTGCCTTTATTTATTCATTGTCACTTCCTTTTGTTCTAAGGAGACATTAGACAGTGTATAAAATTTTAGAGCAAATAAGTGGATGCAGCAGAACATACCTGCTCTAAGTTACTGGAGATGAGAGTGATGCTGATTTCCCATTAGTGTAATTAGAACTGGTAACTGATACTTTCCTATATCCACAATACAGCAGTCAGGAAATAAAGTCTCTGCTTACATGAACGATTGGTGTACCCCAGGGAACACAAGTTGTTTTCATTCCAATGTTTTGATACTTCATTTTTAAGGTGATGAATTGAATCATGTGAGTTTCAAAATATGTCATACAGGACTGTATAGGAGAAAACTGCAAACAATTTGTAACTGTCCTCCTGACATGTCTTTCATATAAAGTTTAAAACAAAATTCTGTATTCAGTAGATTTCTGGCATTTCACAGTCACCGTTTTTTTAGGAGGACTTTAACATGTTTAACTCTTATCCTTGTCTTTCTTAGCATGGTATTACTCTGAAATATTCTTCTAGCCTCTCACACATTGTCTCCTTTTCAGTAAAGCAGTACAAATGTTTAAAACACTTCGTATTCCACAGGTCTTAATCACTTGCCAAAAGTTAAAGCTGTACAGAAGTGTTTAACTGAATGGGGATGAGTTTAAGTAAGTGTTTTTCTGGATCATGGATTTAAAATTTGCAACCTCCAAGTGCTGAACATTGCCTGTGAAGAGCCTGAATATTGGGATTTCCAGCAAAGACAGCCAAAGATAATAAAAGCTCAGTGCCTAAGGGGAATCACTTAACAGCTTGAAGAGCTACATGCTTAATCATAGATCTCATAATAAATTTTAATTGTAAATAATAGTTTATTTTATCATTTAGTTACAGATATATATTTATAATATATGCTTCTCCACCTCTTTGTCTCACAGTGTAAAATAGTGGTACATAAGCAGTTTTATTTCAGTGAAACTGTTAATCACGAATCTGCCTGTTACCAACCACTCTTTGAAGAACAGGCCTTTTAAACACTCTTCACATGCTTATATTTCTTGGCCATCATCTTGGTTTCTTTTTTACTTGCTCTACTAAGCAATGATTATTGACTCTTTAAAACACTCCAGTTATGATGCTGAGGGCTTTTTTGCTTGTTATATTTTTAGGAGATATTGGTCACTATCAGTAGAACTAGTAGAAGCAGTAAACAAATTTCTGAGCAGAATTATTTCTGTACTTCAGATAATGGCTTCTTAGCCAACTCTGTAACTCTTTATGAAAAATCCCAATGCCTTTTCTCATTGAAAATGTACTGTTTCATGAAGAAAAATGTTTATCAAACCAGTGTGCAGACACTAATCAAAATTATATGCCTTTCCTGTAAAGTCTTACTTCCCTGAAAATGAAATACATAGAAACTAATTTCTGAAAAAAAAAAAAAAATCCTTTTTCAGTAGACAGTTAATTTGTTTCATAAAATTTCAAACATTAATCAGTCTGCTGAAATATTGCAGAAGCATTTTGACTAGTTGGTTATCATGTATGTCAATTGTATCTATAAACTAAATGGATCAATCTCCTCATAAATATGCACATATACCCAGCAGCCTCTACAGGACCCCAAATTGATCCATGAAGGAGGCAATCAGTTTAACCATACAGGAAGGCATCATGTTTCCTCCTGTTTATATACAGACACACACAGACGCAGAGAGGCTTATCTCAAAGACTGTTTTGTATATTCCCAAACATAAAAATAACAATGTCATGGTGGCACTAACTGCCATATCAAAAAAAAGAGAATATTGTTATTGTGTATAAACATTTACATTGGTGACTTCTTTCACACATTTAACTTTCCTACTGTTCACTGAAAAGTGCACAGAAGTATTTATGATTTTCTGTTCTCATTTTGCATGTGTTAAATATTTTACAATTAGTTTTAAAATTGACCCACATTTGACCTTTAGTACCAAATTATGATGAGAGAGGGGCTAATTAAACATGAAATGGATGTATCATTGATGCTTTAATTAACTTTATTTAAGAGAAACTGTTCCACTGATAAGTGCAGCTTTTATTTCTTTCCTCTCCAGTAAAATCATCTTGAACAGTGCTCAAATGACAAAGTTACCACTGAATCATTCTGCACTCCCAGGAGATGTGCAGAGCCAAAAGGGACAGGATCTGAGTAAAGGAGGATACAT